CAATGACTCTATTTATCCAGACTTGGCAGACTGATTGCAGATTGACTCTGTGGGTAATAAATTTTCACAGCCACAGAAGTTCAGCAGCAACCAACCTGATCCTGAGATGAAAAATGCACCCAGGGAAGCAGAGTCGGGTTGCAAAAATATGCGAGATTATTATTCCATGTATTAGTACCAGTCACCTAATTTATTTGATCACTGATTGACATGCATGGCACACTGATTTCAGAAGACTTTTTTTTTTTAAAGCTCTGCTTTCTGTTATGCAATTGTCATATTATAAAAGGATGAAGAGGTGTGGGGGTGTGTGTGGAATGAGCCATTCACATTGCAATTGGCAACCTGCTTTTAATATTACACTCCAAGCTGATTTAAGTTATCCAGTGACCTCTTCAGCAAAGAGCAGAGAATTGGAACGAGAATGTTTCTGGTCCCATTCCATAATGGAGGGAACCTCCCAAAAAAGCAGTAAGCATCATGATTCAGTGTTCAAACCTATCTTACCTACCACCTTGTCATTTTGAAGCAACAAAGCTTCAAACACTTTTTGAGAGACTTGAATGAGGAAATTATTACTTTATGCATTATAAATCAAAAAGAATTGGCTCTTTAACTTGCAGATTTATGTTAACTACCTAGCTATCTATTAAATTAATTGGGTGCTCTTCAAATATTGATTGGGGATTAAAAGGTAACTTTTCTTCAATGTGTGTGGAGTAAATTATGCCAACGGGAAAATTTCCCTCTGCAGATTATATCCTATGATCGCTGCCTGTAAAATTAAAATTGTCAGTTTAAATGAATAAACTATGCTCATTAGAAGAGAAAAATGCAGTTATATAATTAAAATTAAAAGACCGCCTAATATGTGTGGATAATGTAATTACTGCAAGCTGTAGACACACACAGAAGCATTCAAGTCTGCTCCCTGTTCCTTTTACCTTTTCTTAGTTCCTAAGCCCACATATTTGTCATCTCTGAAACACTGTCCACAGTTGACATTATCTTGGCTGCTCCTTTTTGAGTCTTAATCATGTGTTCCTCTCCTCATGTCTCAGCCAAAGTAATTTCATCTGGATACTTTCTCTGGGTATGACTTCTTGAGCTTTCCCTGGCTTAAGAGGCAAGAGCTCATCATTTCAGAAAAAAAAAAGATTTTTAAAAAAATGATCCATTCCTCTCCTTGTTTTCTTCACCTCATAGATTTCTGCTGTCCTATGTCTTCTGAATTCTTTCCTTTCTCTTATGGCAGTCTATCACTTTGGACAGCTAAGAACAAGAATAAGAAGAGAATAAGAAGCCAATAATGACTGGCTTATATTATATAAAAAGCCATTATTATAACTGGGATAAAGATGGGGGTTGGAACTATGATTTCATTGAGATGGGGAACTTCCAGGTGAAGAAACTCCTCCCAATGCCTGACCTTTTCTACATTGTATAGTCTGACAGAGTTGTCTATAACACTACTATTCAGGGTCATATAGCTAGTATATGTCAGAAGCAGAACTAGAACCCAGGTGTTCCTAGCTTCAAGACCAGCCCATATTCACTATGTCAAGTTCCCTCCTTAATAATTACCATAACATTAGTAATATGTTATTACTAGCTCACACAAGATGCCCAGTAAATGTAACCACTGATCGGACTTGTGTCAGTGATCTTCCAATTATCAGTATCAAATAAATTATGAGAAAGGAGACATGTTTGTTAAAGGTGTTTTCCAATGCCACGCAGAGTGTCCTATGCGAAGTCCAAAAGACGAAGAATTCTTTTAAGATGATGAAGTTCTCTAGATATTCCCGTTGGTGGATAAAACTGTGCTAATTGTCTTATGCCCTGAAAGAATCCACTCCAGGGACTTTTCATGAAAGACACATAGAAGGCTGGGACTGGGAACCAAGAAGACCTGGGCTCAAATTCACCTCCCCCTAGCTGTGTAACCATAAGCCAGTCACTTCAACTCTCCAGGCCTCAGTTTCCTCATCTATAAAATGAGAAGGTACAGACTTGATGACTGAAGATTCCTTGGATCTCTAAATCTATAATCCTATGGTCTATGTCAGGGGTGGGGAACCTGTGACCTTCTAGGTCCTTGAGGGTAGGCTTTTGACTGAGTCCAAGTTTTACAGAACAAATCCTTTTATTAAGGGGATTTGTTCTGTGAAGTTTGGATTTAGTCAAAAGGTCTAAAACTAATGTTGTATTAGCACTCTCTGTCCACTTTTCTACCACTCTGTCATTGTTATCACAGAAGTAAAAAGGTTCCATAAAAGACTGATGACCATATATGTTTCCTTTTAATATCCATTGAGAATATTCAATTAAAAAATATAAAACAGTATTGCTGTAGAGGTTTCCCATAGACTCCAATGCCTCATTGTAATGTAAATGGTGACCTTGTGTTTTCAAAGGCTATGCCAGTTGAGTGCAAACTATGTCAGATTCTACCATATTCTTTCCTAGTAACAGACTATATCTGCTTTCCAAGGACCAGCCTCACTAAGTATGGGAGGCTCATCACTTTCCTAAGGTGATGTTGGTCGACAAATGATGGTGAATTAATTCATTGGCAATAGTCCTCTCCAGCACTTACAATCTGGCAATAGTAAAAGGTCCCTGAATGTACAATTACCAAAAATTAATTCAAAATCAAATGTCTAATGAACCTGAGGTGTTTATGACAGTGCTTGCACATGTTGCATCCCACAACTTCACTGCAGCCTTGGTTCTGAACACAAAGCATTAGCACTTTGCACTGCGAGTGCCCTCAGGTCACATGACACCCACAAAACTGTCAAAATGCCAACAAACACTGTCAAAAAGTAAAAAGGGATCAAGAGTGGAAAAAGTTTAGGAAGTCCTGCTCTACATGCTGTGGCAGGTAACTTTATACATATGATACTGCTGAATCCAGAGTTTCTTTCCTTGAAGAGGAAGCCAAAGGAATCCTGTCATTCGCTGAATTCAGACATTTAATTAAAAAAGTAGAAATCAGATTCAGGTCCTCACACTTGTTTTGTAAGGGTATTATGTTGCATGGCACATCCTATTGGAACATTTCTGAACAATGGGTGTTTCCACTAAAATTATCCTGAGACAATATCTTTTGTTGTTGTTCAGTTGTTTTAGTCATGTCTGATTCTTTGTGATCCCCTTTGGCATTTTCTTGGCAAAGATACTGTGGTGGTTTGCCATTTTCTTTAGCTCATTTTACAGATGAGGAAATGGAGGCAAATAGGGTTAAGTGACTTACCCAGGGTCACATATGTAGTGTCTGAGGCCAGATTTGAACTCAGGAAGATGAGCCTTCCTGACCCAGGCCCAGCACTTTATCCACTGAACTACCTAGATACTTGATAATCTCTTAGGATTGTTGAATTAAGGCAGATGAAAGAAACAGAGGAAGTTACTTCTATTTAAAGAAAGGAAATGCTGAATACAATCACTACAACGCACAGTGACAAAATATCCTATGAAATATTGTTCTTGTTGCTTTTGGACACAAAATAAAACCAAATTTATGAAATATAACAAACATATAATCTAAATATATCATATATATAACATATTAATATGTATATATAACAACTTAAAAAAACAAATTCAGATTTCTGTCAGCTTGTAGTGAATTCAAACTTAAAAGTTAGGGCAGGAAAACTTTTTCTTTTTAAAATGTCCTGTATTCTTAAATGCCTTATTCCTCTGTTATTACACATCCCTTTTCCTGCTATCTTCCATCATTTGGAATTATCTGTATGTGCCAAAATCATTTCCTGACTTGTCAAATTTCATCTCATATCCAGTCTCATATTTCCCCTATCATCTTTGGCATCTTAACTTCTCTTATAAAGCAACCAAAATCTATTTTTATAAACCTTACAATTAGTTTCTGAATTTTCTTGAAACTCTCTTATCTTTAATTTTAGCTCTGTCCACCCTTACATCTATATATTACTTGAATTTGTGTGTCTAGACAATCTAATCATTTTGTGGCATTTCACGCTATCTTTGTATAAAACACATTATTTCAAACTCTACTGTATTGTGTCAGTACTCAATTACATGTAAAAATATTTTATGAAGAAGACACTGAAATGTTTTCATGTCTATTACATTCTTTTTGCTGTTGTTGAAACTTTAATATAGCTGATGGAGAAAAAAATCCCAAAGGCTTAGAGATTTTGTTTTTAGTATTTTGCTACTACAAAATACAAAATAAATGAAATACCAAAAAAAACTAATTTCAAAAAATAGACAGGATTATCTCAGGAATCTGAGATTTCAAGCTAGAAAAAACCTTGGAGGTCATCTAGTTTAACCCTCTCATCTTGCCCAAATTCACGTTTGTAGTAAGTGGCACAGATGGAATTGGAACCCAGTTCATCTGTTTCTAAATCCAGTGCTCTTCAGTTGAAGATCCATTAATTAAATGCAATCTTTTTTTCTCTTAACTGACTCATATTAACAGTATTTGTAAACCACCAATTGATGCCTTGAGGGGATAAATCAAAATCAGTGAAGAATGTTTCAAGCAAATCTCTCAGTGAAGATGAATAACCTGCCACTAAATATGTGAATCTATTATTCAATTCGACAGTTTAGCTAACCTCTACTATGCTTCCTCTAAATATTAATGATGTCGGTATAAGAATCCTTAATATTTAATACGTTACCGCTTACATGTTGCATTAGTAAAGATTCTGTAAGCTTGGCTGGTTAGTTCAGGGTGCAGTGCTAATGAAATCAAGGCCATGGATCCGATCCCTCTGAGGACACTTAGCACTGCAGAGGAGAAACTCATTTTCGTGGTCATAGGTTAGACTCCCAGTCCCCAGTCCCTTGTTTTGTAAATGAATGTTGTTGGTCCTACTGGGAACTGAGTGAAAGAGTCCGTCTACCATCCCAGAAGCAGCTCAGAACATATGTATTACTGACACCAGGCTAGTAGCATCATCTTTGTTTACAAAGGGAAGAATAAAAAATAAACAGCTCACCTGCTCATTCTCTTCTTCGTCACTACTTAACTTAAGGTCATCTTCTAGCATTCTGGAAGAAAGGGAGGAAAAAAAAGGTGTTTAGTTGACTTATAATATTTTAGCACCAGAATGACATTTTTATTTCTATAGACATTCAATAATGAGGCCACTTATTTAATATGCTGACTTTTATGTTTGCTTGTTTTCTTAAGTCCCTTTCCTCCTAAGCACTTTGCAGACAGCAGACTCCTACTTCATGACCATTAATTCTCACAATGAGAGAAAATGAACAAGAAAATTAACCTTGGCAGGAATATGACTAAAGCATTCTTTCCTCTATTTCTGTAAACAAACCATATGTACCCTCTTTTGAGGGGTCTCTCAGACAGCACTTTTACCTTTATTTTATAGGGAAGTTGGTGTGCCTATAAAAGTAATATGACTTATTTTCAGGTAAATATGCCACAATTCATGCACCTGTATGCTGTCCTATGTAAAGGAGTCCATATACACCTTCTGCTGGCTAGGAGTAGAATCCTTTTGCGATGGTTCTTTGAGCAAATTTGTTTTTCAGAGACAGTTTATAATCTGCACAAGGCTTGTAATTCAACAGACTCATTAACTCATGTACACTATTTTTTTTGGCCTAAAAGGTTACCCAATTCAACCTTCCACCTCAGCTTTATTTATTGGACTTAGATCTAAATAAATTTCTGTTTTTCTAAAAAATAAAATACAACCACAAAAGGTGGGAATATATCACCATTGGGAATATTCAGATAAATTTACTTGAAGGCAATTCTTTAAACTCCAAAAATATTTTAAGCAATGGTAGGTAGCATCATCGGAGTAAGTGTAGTTTTCCTAAGGTAACTACATTGAAGAGGATAATACTCACATGGATGTGAAAGTTCCAGTACATATGGTGAAAAATCAGTCACGTGAACTACTATGTTAACATTTTTTATGACTGTTTGGATACATAAATGGTTTCTTGCTATTATTAATCACAACATTTGCCCTGCAACAGATGAAAGGTTGAATCCCAGAGAAAACACAAGGAATTAATCTGCCTTGGAGATGGCAATGCCATCTCCACGGGACAGGTTATTTACCCATTGTTTTGGCTCATCTCTGTCTCTCTATTCTGGGCCAATAAAGTCAAGTAAACTTTAAGTTATCACTTAAAATGAAAATCAAGAAAGTAATTATGACAATTTTATGGACTTTGTGTGTACATATGAAACATGATGGATTAATTGAACATTATTTCCCTTTAACATACATACATAGAAATAAACCTAATTTGTAAGCTACCACAAATGTTTTACATGATCCTGGGAATAAATTTATAGTTTTCTTAGCTAACTATTTTGAAGAGGACAGTACTCTTGTGGACATGTTAATTCAGCTATTAAAAAAAATCAGTCATGATTTTTATATTCTCCTAAAGTATTCTAATTAAGATCTTAGCACCCAACTTTTTAGCCATAAGGCTAAAACCTAAACTTTAGGGGATATTTCTGATCTTGTACATAGCTTGTTTTGTATACATATATTTGTTTGCTTCTCTCCCCTATTAGATTTGTAAACTCCTTAAAGGAAGGGACTGTTTTTAACCTCTTTTTTATATCTCTAGTACTTGGCATACAGTAGGTACTTAATATATGTTTATTGATTGATGAATGCTATAACAAAATTATATTCTTGTAAGAACTGCCATGTACTAGGTCATATTCTGGAATGCCAGGGTTGTTCTCCCTGACGTCAACATCAAAAGGTTAAGATTATATCTAAAGAATGTGCTGAGTTTTTTCTTAAGAGCCCGTTATGGTTCTACCATCCATGAATCTATAAAAAAATATTTTGGAAGTGATTTTCAATCCATACCATTCCTTATTTTGAATAGGGAATCAGAAGGCTTAAATTCTAATTCTTTAGATCTAACCTAGCTGTGTGTCCTTCAGCAAATGAATAATAATAATGACAACAGGACAACTGACATTTATGTAGCACTTTAAGGTTTAAAGAGCAGTTTACAAGCATCCCCTCATTTTATCCGTCATAATAAACCCTAGGTGGTGTCGTTGTTCAGTTGTTTCTGTCATGTCTGACTCTTTGTGACTCCATTTGGGATTTTCTTGGCAGAGATATTGGAGTGGTTTGCCATTTCCTTCTCCAGCTCATTTTACAGGTAAGGAAACTGAGGCAAACAGGACTAAGTGACTTGCCCACAGTCACATAGCTATTAAGTGCCTGAAGCCAGATCTGAATTCAGGAAGATGAGTCTTCCTGACTCTAGACCTGGTACTCACCCAATTTGCCATCTAGCTGCCCAACCCTGGGAGTTAGGTGCTATCATCAGCCTCACTTTTTAATAGATGAGTAAATTGAGGGAAACAAGGGTGAAGTGACTTGCCAGCTTAGTAAGTGTTTGAGGCTGGATTTGAATTCAGGTCTTCCTGACTCCAAGCCCAGTGCTTTATTCACTAAGCCACCTAGCAGTCTCTCAAACACTCTCATCTGAGTGTTCTCCAGTTACCAAAATGCCATTTTGGTAACAAAAACCAGAAAAGCAGAGCAATGTTTTCTCCCTTTTTCTTCCTGCTGAGAAAACAGCAATTGCAATTTTTTTTGTCTCAGGAAGGCACAGCATTGTAAGAATTCTGTGTCCTGAAGTATGGGTGGTCCCCTCAGTGGGTAAATGAGTGTATGGAAGACAGGTAATCATTTCAAACCACCTTCCTGTCACTGTGCCTAAATCACACAAGGGGGTGGCTAAGGAGTTTAATCTCCAGGTGATTAACCGTGCATGTCTTTCAGGCCCACTGACAACCTGGGGAAGAACACACATATTCACAAAGGACGTGCAGCCCAGTCATACTGTTAGAATCAGACCTACGTGTCTGTCAACAGGGCTAGGAAACACCCATGACAGGAAATTCCCAGGAATTGAGGGCAGTTGTGGGAGCAACTGAGAATGCAGTCAGTCCCTCCTTAACCAAGATAGCAGGAAGTGGACTCAAAGCATGTCAGAGTCACAAGGTATCTTATAGAACAATCTAGTACAACTCTCTTATTTTAGAGATAAGGGAATTAAAATCCAAAGAGGTGAAGATACTTGCCCGAAATGGCACAGTCAATTACAGATAGGTCGTTCTGTTCACTTGTGATTCAGTAGTGATTTCCATTAGCAGTATCTAGTCTCTAAATCACACTAGGATGGAGAGAGAAGCCTGAGTTATAGAAACTTTTGGGGGGTTAAGGGTGAAGCAGACCTGAAGTTCTAATTGGTACAGGAAACTGCTGATGAGCAAATTCCCTCTACTAATGCACATCAGCACTTGCTCTGGGAATCAGAGTCTCAGAAAGATGATTGAGGCCCCACAGCCATTATATGTCAGAGGCAAGACCTGAAACTGGGTCTTCCTGACTCTGAGGCTAGCTGTCTGCCAAATACACAGTACTGTGATGCTGTATCTCTATAGAAATGTAAAGGGGATATATCACACACTAGGCTTGTTTTTGTTTTTTTAATTAAGATGAGAGGGGGTGGGGAAGTCAATGTCAATAAGAATTCTTATGCCTGGAGCAAATTCTGTTGGTTTGTGTGAGCACCTGTAACCATTGAGTCTATCATTTGTCTTTCAGTGTCCAGTTCATGTTCCCAAAGGGACTGGGTTAAAGGCAGGCCTTGGGAGAGGGTAACCACAGCAATGGGACCCTAGGACTAATGGCTCAGCCTAGGAGAGGATTGAAGAGGAAGGATTTGGGATGGTAAAACCTGAGTGTTGGCATCCTGGAGCAAAGTCCCATATACTTGTTCATTGCTTTTTATGTCTCCGAGGAGAGATATGCTAGTGTGCCTATTCTTCCACAACTCCTCCAGAATGGGCTGTTGCCATTTTTTGGGTCATTTTTGCCAATTTGTAGAGTGTAAAGTGAAACTCTAGGGTTGTTTTGATTTGCATTTCTCTCATGATTAGTGATTTTTCATGTGGTTGTGAATATTTTGTAGCTTCTTCATTTGAGAACTGTTTGTTTATATCCTTTGACTGAATAGTTATCTATTGAGAAATAGCAATTAGTCTTTTATTCATTTATTAATTGATTATATATCTTAGACACCAAATCCTTATAAAGAAATTTGCTACAAATTTTTTCCCCCCTATTCCAGTGCTTCTAAACTGCAGGTCATGACCCCACATAGAGTCATGAAAAATTTGGCAACAGTAAAAGGTTTCTGAATTTACAACAACCAAAAATTAATTAAAAATCAAATACATATTGAATCTAATGTGTTTCTGGCAGGGCTTGCCTGTGTTGCATCCTGCAACTTCACTGTAGCCTTGATTCTGAACAGAAATCATGAACACTTTGCACTATGCATACCCTCAGGCCATGCAATACCAATGATAAAGTTTAAGAAGCCCTGCCCTATTCAATCACTTCCCTTCTTATTCTAGGTGCATTAATTTTGTTTGTGCATACACTTTTCAGTTTCAAGTAATCAAAATTATTTATTTTATCTTTTGCAATTGCCTTTATTTCTAATTTGGTTAAGGATACATCTCTTACCCACAGCTATGAGAAATATACGATCTATTTCTCTTCTAAAATAATATGATCTTTAAAATTAAGGTCGTATTAGAATGTATTGTGGAATATAGTGTTGGATGGTTGTCGAAAGCCCAATTTCTAACAGATTGCTTTCCCATTTCCCCAGCATTTTTAATCAACTAAAGAGTTGTTTCCTAGGTAATTTATGTTTTCCACTTAAATAATGAATTATTGAGTTCTGTTGTTTCTGATTTTCCTTATTTAGTCTGTTCCATTGATCTTCTGTTCTTTAAGCAATACCACATGGTTTTGATGACTGCTGCTTTAAAATATATTTTGAGTTCTGGAAGTGCTACTCTACCTCTGTCCCTACTTCTTTTCATAATTTCCCCTGATATTCTAGATATTTTGTTTTTCCAAATGCACTTTGTTATTATTTCATAAAGTTCTATAAAATATCCCCATGGTAATTTGATTGGTATGGTATTAAAAGTACACATTAATTTTTGT